ATCTTTGTGAATAAATGAATGTTTTACTTTACTGTAGCACAATAAAACTAAATACAAGATTTTTCTCTTTGCCAAAATAAATCAAGCACAAAAAGGCAAGTCAGGAATGTAAAAAAAACCCTTAATATCAGAGTTAAGAAACTCACGGCCCCTTCATGCTGACAGCCAACCAAGCCGGCTCTGCTAGAACACCATGATCCTTTTTAAACCACTGCCCAGCGTCACCGGCTGTTGTGTGTGTCTAAGAAACAATATCTTTAACCCATTCCTCAAGTTTGCAGGCTTTTGTTTATGAAGGCTGCACTAAATTTCAGCAGTGTTAAGTGTGTTATTAGCACACAATACCTAATCAGAGTGTGTTCTTCTTACAGCTGGAGCATGAAAAAACACTTGCACGCGATCAAAAACACATACGTTCCATCTGTCCAACCAACACCAGAGAAATGGACGTATATGCCTAACAGCATATCTAGGTTACATAAAGTGTCATTATTAAGGTTAGAACTCTGGAAAAGCAGACTTACTCAAGGACCTTGAGTAAAATTAGGCTTAAATTGAATAAAAAGAGAAAACAACAGGTTGATGTGGCAGCAAAGCCATTTACAAAACTCAAAGAGAACACTAAGGAGAACCAGACAAGGCTTAAGAATACACAATGAAGAACTGATCAGTGAACAAAGACAGAAGGAATAAATGGACTGGGGCTGAGGAGGAGAGACAGTTGAGCTTAATGAGACAGGAAACAGGTGTGGCAGGACTGAGGAGCTGAAATGAAGGAAAAATATTGGGAAAAATGACAGGAAAACAGAACACAACCAATAAAACATAAACGATTCTACAAATACTGACATAACGTGTAATTTGCATGCCTAAAAATCCAGATTTAAACACCAGAACGACTCTGCGTCTTGATTTGGAGACAAATGTTTCATGTTTTGTTACCATCGTAACATGTTTGTTGATTTGCCTGTTTGCTTGGTTACTGTTGATGATTTTACTGTAGAAAAGTCTCCTTTTATTCAGAAAACATCACATGCAGTGAAGCCAGAGGCTGTAGCCGATTAAATCAGGGTCAAAGAAAACTAAAGTAACAATAAAATAAAACAATTTCATCTGCAAGCTACTGAAAAATGCATCAAAATGTGCAAAAAGAACCGGTTTTATAAAAGTTAATTAAAAAAGTATGAAATTCTTTGGCGAGTAGAACAGTGTCATGTAAAGATACGCTGCTCGGTTTGAAATTTAAAGCTTTTAGAATGCACAATAACTGCTGCAAAAAATATATCTAAAAATTGAACTTCTGTGAATTTATTTTTTACTTCCTCTCAAATTTAGTTTCACATGTTATGGTCTGATCAGATCTCAGTCTGCTTAAAGGACGCATGGCATTAAATGTTGAAAATTATATTTTTTCTCACACTAGTATAAAAATAAAAACAAAAATTATGAAGAGGTTACAATAGATTATGAAAGAAACAGATGATCCACAAGAAAAATAGGTGGATCTCCAGTTTCTAGCACCCTTAATCATTATAGCTTAAAAAATGTTCGATAATATCAATACTGAAAAATTGAGTCATTTTTAACTTGACTAAAACCAGCATGATGCACAGAAATAGCATTGGGATGAGACTACAACACCTAAATAAACGGAACATTTTTTGTACAGAGCAACATTYTTTAAAAACCTGCCTTACCCTTCTTTGTCGGATCCATTGTCRCTTTAACAGCTGGCAGGAAAAATATATTCACTAAAATCTAAAAATCTGATCGTAGACTTGCTGAACTGACTAAAAAAAAACATTTAAAAAAACATCTGAGCTTGTTGTTTGTTACAGCTCGTCTGTCTGATAACAGCTACAGARAGTGATGCTGCATCATATGACCCCTTCGGAGTTCAGTCACGGTGTTTAGGCTTAATACCACAGCTGACTGACTCTGCTGGCTGGAATACGCAACAGCTGAGAGAGCACAAGAATATGCAGTTTATTCAAAGTACTTTTTACTTCACGTTGGGTTTTCACTGCCCACTTTCAAAGACAACGTTGAAGCGATTATGTTTTTGCCTCAGTGTGTGTTATGTGTTCATTTGTCCAGTCTYTACCATTAAAACAAAAGGATCTCCTGAGTCACACTTGAAAGTAATAACTAGCTTGATCTCCACATCTTTGTAGTCAACTCAGTTCAAGATGTCACAGCAAAACAAATAAAAAATTATTACACCTAAGTAAGCTTTAAAAAATGTTATTAGTAGAGACTAATCCCCAATTTATACTCTGAGCACTTATTATTTAAGATCCTTGTTTTAAGGGGGTATTTTGTATTTTCTAGGCACATAGATTGATTCTATACCACAGTCAAGTAACTGTTACCTTCAGTTGTTATGAAAAAGCTGTATATATCAAACTTTACATCATAGCCTATCTAAATGTCTTGAAATTGGCCTTTGTCTCTTTACGAACCTCCTGCCATTTCAACACTCCCACTTCAGCACATCTTCACAATAATGATTCAGGGGAGGAGTGCTCTGTAGGGCGAGAGCAAGGCTGCAGACTGAACTCCAGGGAGGAGCTTTGTGTAAATAGGCGGTGATTTGTACCAGCAAGCATTTAGACAGCTCCACATGTCTACAGGAGCAACACTCTGGGTATGTTTTTGGATGAAGGAATGATATTATAACATAARATTAAGCTACAAAAAAAAACTATTTTGCATAATGCCCCGCCCCCTTTAAACTTTGCCATTAAACACAATCATCAACTCATTTTGTTATTTAACTACTGAACTACAGAACAGGTTTTAATGAAACTTTCAAAAAGTAAAGACTAGGTTCACATCTGCAACTAATTAACATTTTAACTCAACCAAATTTTAGATGGTCACAGCTGAGCTTAAAAAATAAATAATGGATATAACTCAGCCGATTTCACAAATATCATTTTAAAATTTGGTGCACTGCCCGAGCATCATCACATACTTTGAGAGCAACAATGTGCAACGTCTCTACTTAAAACCTTTGCAAAAACACTGTTTGTCTGTTAGCAAAATTTCCCARTAAGCACCGGATAAATTTTAACGAAACTCAGAAATTAGTTACTTTGTAGATCTACAACTCAATAGGCTTTTGAGTCAACCTACAGATTAGCCYCCACAGCTAATCAACTGCCCACACAAAAAGGACATTTCTCACTGAATTTTACAGATATTGAAGTAAAATTGGGTGTCGTAGTAGCTGATATTCAGTCGCAGCGCAAACTTCAAGAGCTACCAGATCACACAAGATATGTCATCATCACATGAGGTTACACATAAGGTTATTTTCAAGGTTCCCTTCAAAGAGAGCTGAGGCTCACAAAGAGTTACATAAACACTGCTGCCAATTTGAATTCAACCTGATTTGATTCTCCGCAGGCCTGGCCTCAGGATACATGTGTATAATTTTATCATGCTCACACAAAGTGGACCTCCTATGTGATGGAATTACTCTAATCAATGTGATAGACCCAAAAGGAGCTGCTGATGTGAACTGACACTGTATCCTGCCATGTCATTGTCCTGCCTGGCTTAAAGACACCACACCGGTCAATTCAACTGCGTATAATGGACTTTTATCTAAGATTTTAGTAAATGTGCTTAAAAAATTTAATTTAAATTCAAGATTGATGTTAGATATTAAGTATTTTTCCAGATTTTGTTAATTATAACATGCAAACAAGATTATTTAAGGATAAATGACAGCAATTTAAATAAAACTTTTTGACGCAGTAACTAAAGTACAACCTAAAATGTGATGTCATGTGGGAAATATTTCAAGTTTTCCACAGAACAGGATGAAGAGCTAGTCACCAAAGAGAGAGAGAGAGAGAGAGAGAGAGAGAGAGAGAGCGATAGAGAGAGAGAGAGAGAAGAGGGAGCTGGCTGACATTTACTCTGAACTGTCAAAACCAGGCGAATCCAAACTGAAATCTTAGCACATGTTCGCCCAGCTCTGCTCCTACCTTTATATTTCTCCAGTACGTCCTCATAGGCTTGGAGGTATTCCAGTTCGTCGGAGAGCGCATAGCCCTGCGGTGCGTACTGAGCCATAACCCGGGCTCCACTAACTGGACATTCAGCAGCAGAGACGGACAGAGACACTGCATGTGTGTGTGCGCGCGCGCGCGCGTGTGTATGTTTGTGTGCGTTTGCTGAGAGTGATCGGCGCTGTTGTCGAAAAGGAAACGCCCTGCATCCCTCCCTTGTCTGCAGCCTGACCAATAGGAGGCACTTCCTCTCTGGATTGATAGGAAGAACCACACTGTAAATAAACGCATCTAAACAGCTAAATGCCGAAAATCACTGAGCAGGAAACTCATTTGGGCCACAATTAAACACGTTATATCTTACAATCTTTGAAAAAGAAAATAAAAGGGGGGAAAAACAGTGGATTACTTTAAAAACTGGTTGAACTACAGCGTTTTGGATCATTTTTTTTACAGTGTGCAGAAAATAAACGCCTGTCAGGCTGTTTGTAGATAAATGAAACATGAATCACTTCCTTCCACCTGCCAAAGATTTAAAGCAACTTTTTGGGAGAATTGTTACAAATTTCTTCCTTATTGTGTTTTTTTTTTTTTTTTGCATCAGCTGGAACTTTACATCACTGATGATAACATCAGCCACAGCAATTACTAATTTTATGACATCAGATTGTGTCCAAGTATTGCTGTAAAACAATTATGTGCTGTAAAAGTGCCATCACGTCTCTAACAACCTGACTTTAATTATCACTTTGTAAGTTAATTTGTGAATGCCTTAACAAAATAAAAATAATAGGGAAGAAATCAGAATATTATATAATAGAAATCAGTCATTTTAAATTAATTAATTAATTAATTTTATAGAATATTGCATTTATTTATTTATTACACCGCATCACCCTGTTTGTCCTCCCAAAAAATAAAGCAATGGATTCATCTCCAGAAACCGCTCGCATCAACTTCACCAGGTGAGTCCCTCACCTGCGATCCGGAGCACGGCTCTCTCCGCCGGGTCCAGCACGGATCCTCCCTGGATTTTTCTCTTGGACCGCTCATGTCTCGGCAGGTTCCAGGGTAAAGTGTCCCCGGGAGCGGGTGACGCGGATCCAGATTTCACGCTGTAATCGTCCTCGTCCGAGATGTCCGCCGAGGAAGACATGGAGCAGTGCAGGGAAGGGTTCCCTGAACTGGAGCTCTGGGAGACAAAAGGAAAAGAACAACAGTGCCTTGATTGCACACACACACACACACACTGACACAGAAGGAAATCAGCTAGATGACTGAGAACACGCGCAAAGAGCGTGGCAAAAGGCTGTGTTCTTCTCACCATGGCAGGTCAAGGTGCGTAATTGCGCGCACGCAAAGCGTGACATGAGCCGCCGGTTCTCAGTGACCCAAAACAATAAAAGATTGAGCCAAATAAAAGCAAGACGCAGAAATCAAGAGTGTCTGGCTCCCCCGCCAGGTCAGAACCAAGACTTACCACAGTATACATGAAGACCTGTCAGCTGGAGGACAAACAGAATCCTAAGACGGCATTATTATTATTATTATTATTATTATTATTATTTTAGCTTCCGCTTGTTTCCAAGGATGCCACGCCCTTAGAGGGACGCTCCGGTCGCGCGTTTCTCCCCTTGCGGCGTCCTAAAGGATGCGGGGTGATGTCAGATCTCCAGAGGGCTGAAAGGATGGTACTCTGTGTGCTGCCGAGGCAGAGCTGGACCGTGATGGGAGAGCAGACTGCATGTGTCTGCGCGTCACACCGCCGGCAGCCAACAGCAGCAGTGGTGTTAGAGCGCCATCCCTCACACAAAGGATGGTTTCCCAAAACAGCACCCCCCCCCTTTTTTTTTTTTTTCCTGATTATCAAAACCTAAGGCAGTCATTTCTAACAGCAGATCATAGCTCATTAAAACTGAATGTGGTGAACACAAAGACGTCTTTTTTATTGTCCCAAAGTGACAGAACACAACATAAAGAGCAAAACTGGCTGAATTCTCTCAAAATTGATGCAATTTTTAGACTTGTTAACATGATTAACTGTTTTCTGTAACAATACCCTGTTTCACCCTGACACTCCCCAGATTAAGCAATAGAGCAAATACACAAAAAAACACGTCATAAAAAGGGTTGGGCACCTAATACCTGTACAATCACGTTCAGTTTGCTTTATGATAAACCATCAGATTGTTGTGGTCCTAATGGTGCCATAAAGAAATTAGTCCGCACTGTGGTCTGTCATGTTGAGCTGCTGTTCAGGTGATGGATGATGTTTCTGCGGGGCCACAGAGAACAGTTTAAAATAGATGCTGTGAGAGGGGATGAAAGCAGCAGCTGATAATATTAGCAACCGTTTCATGTCTGCATCACTTTTCATCAGGATCAAACTGAGTCAAAAAGGCAGCTCAGCACTGATTTTTTTTTTATCAGAGCTCAATGCAGAGTTGGTTCAAATATAAAGTAAACTGGCTGAGTATTTTATTTTATATGACAAAGGCATGAATGTTAAAAGATTGAGGACCACCTTCATCACAATGACAGACATGTTCAATGTTTTTGCTGAGCTGTGAGCCTTTTGCTTTGTAGAACAATAAGTTCTCCCTTTTCAAATTTCATCCATGTTTGATGTGTTCTGAGTCCCCAGAGTGTCACAACATATTAAACTAATATAAAAAAGACAAAGACCCATACATGTTGCGTTATATAAAAAAGTGCAAAACCTTTTAAAATGTCTAATTGGGCACTGATGTTCTTTAAGCGCTATGAAATAAACATATGGCTGCATCTCTTTCACTTCCTGCCAGTGTTGCTCTTTGGATCATTAGAAGAGATCAACCGATTAAAACAGTCAAAACAATCCTATCAAGACAACCATTTACAGTATTCTGAGTCTTATACTTGAAATTATGATCTAAACCAGCTGTAAGCAGAACACAGACATGATTACATCTGCATAAATATTTTAAAGCTTTTTTAGTCTTATGTATATATTTGTGAGAAAAGTGGCTTTTGTAATAGTAGTGTAAAAATATGGCTCAGTGTTGTTTTTGACCAGCTCACAGTCAGTTTAAATGCAATAACAGTCTAAATCATAAGAACAACATCTCTAATTAAGTTTCAATGAATCTTATTTGATGACCTCTGTGATAACATCACACAGATCAATAAGCTCCTTTGAACCTTTTCAACGTCACACACAGATTTAACGGAAGTTTTGCAGAAAAAAAATCACAGCCATTCAGAAACATGTTTTGATTTTGTACATTTAAAATAAGAAGTTTGTTCTTTAAAGAAATGATATCAAATTCAAGAAGCAGAAAAAAAGACCAACAAATTACACAGCTTCACTGTGGTTTAAGAGGAGACCCTGTTATGTTTGAGCCCAATCTGTCTTAAATTGACTCCTCCAAATAGACAAAAATGATTATTTGCTGTCTCCCATCTACAGTTGGACATTTGCAAAGTAAATTTAAAGTTTTGAGGAGCTGCAAACTGTGCAGTTTACAGGGAAAATTACATTAAATATGCAAAGGTATCAGATTTCTTTTAAAGTGGAATATTATTTTAAATTAGTCATGTAAACATAAAACTAGAAGCCATAATAATTATTCATTAAATTAATTTATGAATTTGGATTTTCTGGATTAACAATTTTAAAAAGTTACATTTTGCAATAGGTGTKTAATAAAATAATGTTCTGTGCTTTGTTTTGGTAAACTTCTATTTTTAGATTTTAGAAAATAAAATAAAATAAAAAAAAATAAATCACAAACCAATCAACCTGAGTCATAAATAATTGTACCTAAAGGTAAATGTCAAACACACCCAAGTTCAAGCCCTTTAAATAAATATCTGTGTCCCAGAAACTCCAACTTAAAGCTTCAAATCCACACAGAGGTCCCTGTGGAGGGAAAAGTCAAACAACAAGATGCTTTATCATCATTATCAGTGATGGTCGCAGTCTCATGTGAGATACCTACAACTTTACGTGTAGGAGTGACTTGTACCGACTGGTAAAACTCAGGCAGGACCCTCTTCTTCACCTTCCGTTTTCTCAGAGTCGACGGCAAGTCGGGTTCACTCTCTGGAACCTCGACCAGATTAGGCTTTTCTTCCGTCACTCGAGCATGTATGCTCCTTCTTAAGTGACGCGGACTGTGCCTGAAACACTGGAAACAGGYTCAGAAGGTCAAACTGAGAACAGGACAGATATTTTCACTCAAACAGCTTTTTAAAATTATTTTAAGAATACAAAATACAATATCTGAGGGAAAAGTGTGCTTTTCTGTTACACTTATCTTGTTATAAGCATGTGAATCAAGCTTCCGTGTGTTTTTGTTGGATTGACCCGGGTGCTTTGTTTACATTGAGTGCGTACCCTCATTTCAAAAAGTAAACCTTTTCAAACTGCGCTATTTGATGTAGTTTAGGGTGTTTAATTTATAGTTTGCAATGATACTTTTGAGTTATCGTTGTCTTGGTTTAATGAACTAAAATAGAACCTCTCCAAAATGGATGCAAAACTTTTCAAAACAACATTTCTATGAAACCTCCAAGATAAATGATACTATTATTACACTGAGGCTCTAACAGTTCTGTTAAAAACGTGCTTATTTGATACAGTATCCCACAGCTACAGTCCTGAGTCAGTGGGGATTCAGTATCCTGTGATTCAACAATATGACCTAGAAAGAAAGGACAGCTTTTGCTGTTGTAACTTTATAATCTGGGGGGAGGAGACACACACCAAACTTGATGTTTTTATTGGAGGATTTTTACAAATGTTGACCTGATCGACTTGTTAAGCATCTTCCATGAACAACTGAATGTCTAGAAGTTCATATGAACAGACCTACTGTTTTTAGTTTCATTGAAATTACATATGAGGCATTATAAAGCTGCCTAAAACTGAAATAAATGGAGCACATCTGTTTTCATCCTGTCTGGATCATAAAACTGAAAGAGTTTCAGTGTAATCCCTTATACTAACACATGAAGATTTATTTTTTCTCATTTTATAAACCTGCAAGAACACCCACATTGCCTCATGCGCATTGCGCACATCATATAATCCCTAAATAGTCACGCAGTTCTCAACAAATGTCCAAAGAAGTCGACTTTAGGCAGCATTTTTCCTCTTTTAGCTGATCAGCCACAAGCAGCAGGCACTACAGATTTGTTATTGAGAAAATAATGTGGAAAAGTTCTCCCTACCTCTGATCGAAAATGATGCGTTCGGAGACCAACTGCAATAAGACAGATAACAAATGTTAAAAAGAAACTGTTTGATCAGACATTTATGTTCAACTACGACAGAAAAGCCGCACAGGCTACTTGTTTCCAAGATTGTCGCCTACAAGTTTGGGCCGAAATCAAGTATTTTTACGCACAGTAATAAAACTCATGTTAATGACATTTGACAGAATTAAACTGCAGACGTCTGATAGTTAGGCCCTGCTGACTGCTGTAGCTGGAGGAGCTGAATTGAATGCGTTTATAGAGCTATGATAGTCAGGGTGGGAAGATGCGGCTGCACGGCCTGCGCTGCGCTACTCACCGCGGCTCCTGGAGCGTCCGCCGGAGAGAACCGATTTTATTGGATGCTTCCCATTACTGAGTCTCCGGTGCCAGCAGCAGAAAAATAAAATAGTCGCAACGGTACCGAGCAGCAGCAACAATAACAACAAGACACACTGAATGTTGTAGGGCCTCAACAGGACTAAAAACGCCGCAGCGATCATTATAAGGCGGAAATGTGGGACAGTTGGTTCAGCTTCAGGCAGCTGGCTCCTCTCCTGTTTCTAGGTCCGCGGCTGAAAGCTCCGTGGTGAGGATAAAGACGCGTCGCTGTGAAGCATCACGCTGTTCAACGTGGACAGGGTCAACGAGAACAGTCCACTCCAAGGGACAGCGCATGACTCAGCAGAGGCGCGCGTTTTATTTCATTATTTATTTTTCCCGGCAGCAGCAGAGGGAGTCAGCAAATTCAGCCCAGGCAGCGTCTGCTGCTGAGCGACCTGCCCATGATGCTGCAATGGTCGCATAAAGCAGGGATGGAGTGGATCTCTGAGAGCGCACTGAGCTCCACTTTATGTTCTTTAGCACGGTGGATCACTGTTCTCAAAAGCTGCCGCATTTTTGTGAAATACCTCCTAATTAAAGAGCTGTGATTAGAAAATCAAAAGAAAACATTTCGGGTTAATGCAACATTGATTATGTAATTTTTTGGATGAAACAGTTTATAGTAGGCTGAGCATTAGGTCTATTTATGTTTATTTTGGCAAAGCATTTAGAAATAGCAGCCTTATTATGTAACGTGCCACAGTATCACAATTTGAGCTAGAAAACCAAAATCAAAAAGGCTGATAAAATACGTAGTTTTGCAAATATTGCGTGTATTTTTACACAGAAAAAGCCTGAACGGACAAAAGTTTATTTTATTTTTCTCGTAAAGTGCTTAAGAATATATTTCTGCGGTGAATCGTGGCAAACTAGCGGTGAGATTTAATAGCCTGTGTGTTTGCCATGATGTCTCATTTCTGTCCATAAAAGGCACCATCAGACGGGCGGAAACAGTTCTTGCCTTTGCACGCCCTCAGAAATTGAGAACTCCGCCTGTGCGGCAAACATCGCGTGCAAAAAGAAACGCACCCGCTGTGTCATTCACGGTGATGTTGTAAAAGCCAACATCCACTCCGTAAACGAAGCAGTTTATGTGAGAATTAAAGATAACGACGTGTTCTGGTAATTCAAAGCATTACTTTTGAATGCCAGTTGAATTTTATTTTAGTAGAATGTAACTTTAGCTGTGGTTTTATGAAGGCTAAGCTTATGTTAGCGTACAAAGAGCCCTACATATAACGTAACATCCTCAATGGCTACAAGCTGAGGAGGGCAGGTGAACAACTTGTTGACGGAATCGATATATTTAGACGAGACTTCTGTAGTTTCTGAAACACAACTTGTGTAGTTGATGCTGTATTTTCGTACGATTTAACCCAGTCATTGAACGTTACATCCCGGCGACTTGAGCTCAGTGACGCCCCTGGCGGTGAAGAGTTATATTACAATAACACTGATTTTAACGATTTACCATCTCAAGTTTTGGTTGATGAAAACCTCACAAGAGCCTCACCTAGTGGTTAAAAAGAGCACTTTCCTGAGACTCGTGTACATTTCAGATGCACTAGAAATCAGACTTTCAAATAAGGCTGTTTATTAATGACCAAACATGAAGTTTAAGCAGCTGTGCTCAGATGTTACAGTTAAAAAGTGTGGTTACAAAGTACCACAATGTAATAAATARAGCATTTATTATGCATTTTCACGAGTTGGCTGCAGTAAAAACCAAACTTTAACCTTATTAGAAGAATTTACACTAAAAAAAACAGTTTGACAAAGACAATTTTAGAAGAATTCACTCAGATGCATTCCTCCTGTTACACAGTAATCAAATTATACTCCTGCACCTAGACAATATTTGATTTTAATACAATCCAAAAGGTCAGGCTTTAATGAGACACTTTTGTGTGATAATTACCACCTCTTTGCTGCATTACACTCAAGATTTTTATTTTATTATATATATATTGTATCACCAATAAGGAAGTGAGCAGGTGATGGCAAACACTCCATAATTGTCGAGCTCTTCATCTACTTGTCCTGGAAATCGGCTTTCCTTTTCTCAACGAAAGCCGTCATGCCTTCTTTACGATCATCCTGCAAAAACAAAAAGACATTCAATAAATAAAACCTACCTTAACAAATATTGTTAACCATCTTATAACTTAATAAGGGCAGCTTACAGTTGCAAAAGTAGCATGGAATAAACGTTTCTCCAAGCGGCACCCCTCTGCCAAAGTCAGCTCAAAAGCTGCGGTTACACAAAAGAAAGGTAAAAGTTTAACAAAAACCAAAAACAGTCCATTTTTCGTGTTTTTAATGTGCAGAAAAACCTTCACACACCTCCATTGACAGCCTCTTTAGCCATGGCAGAGACCAGCTTTGAATTGGCAGCAATTTTTTCCCCACATTTAACAGCTTCAGACACCAGCTGGTCCACAGGATAAATTTTACTCACTAAACCTGGAAATACACACAGCTACTCAGTCACATAGTAAAGTCATATTTATTAAAGTGCAGCTCTGTTCTGCCAATTACGTCAAATCAGACGTGGAGGTAGTTCAGAGTAACACTGCTGCTTCAAAAAGCTCAATTTAAACTCTTTATTAAACATTCAAAAGTGCAGTATTACTTTTAAAAGCTTTTAATAAGAATAATTTTGTCTTTAATCCTACAAGAGCTTTAAGAGTAGCCATTTTAGAGGTGTAAAAGCAAAAAAATGTACAGAACTTTAGTAAAGCTGAATTTATTTGAAATTTATCATTTTTTTCTATGAATAAAACCTGTCCTAGAGCCTGTTCTGTGATGCTGTCGTTACCTGATTGCTTTGCTTCCTCTGCGTTAATCCGGTCTCCCGTTAAGACCATTTCCATCGCCAGGGATTTGCCGACGGCGCGAGTCAGACGCTGGGTGCCGCCCGCTCCTGCAGGTAGAAAATTGATAMTAAGAATGGAGCTAGAAGCGCGGATGTTCGTACGGGACAGAGAGTGATCTTTACCAGGAATTGTCCCCAGGAGGATTTCTGGTTGACCAAACTGCGCCTTCTCCCCGGCGTAGATGATGTCACACATCATGGCGAGCTCGCAGCCTCCACCCAGCTGGAAGAAAAACAGTTTTAAATTACACTTAGCGCATTATGAAGATCCAGATCGCTAAACAATGTAAATAAAAATGTAGGTTAATGAAAAAAGGAAAAACAGTAAAGATAAGAAAAGGTGGCTGGAGATACGTGTCTGAACCAGACAATGAAAATTCTAATTAATATAAAAATCCCATTCTTATTCTCTTGCTTTAAAAGATCTATCATATCAGTGTATGATTTATTTGCTTTTGATTTAATGTTTTATGAAAAATATGTCTCTCACCGTTGTGATAATACAGAACAAAAATGTGACACTTACTGCGAATCCATTGACAGCTGCGATTACAGGCTTCTTCACTGTGGAAACTCTGTTCCAGTGAGCCAGAAAGTTTCCCCCATAACACTCTTGAAAGGTTCGATTTTGCATTTCTTTAATGTCTGCTCCGGCTGCAACAACCACACATGGTTGGGATAAATTTATTGTGAAACCTCTGCCAGCAAGTTTAACAGAAAACCAGTCAGTACGTTCCCTCACCAGCGAAGGCTCTCTCACTGCCGGTGAGGACGATGGCTCCGACGTCTGCGTCGGCTTCAAAGGCGTCCAGCGCCTGTCCCACCTCCTTCATCAGACCGTCGCAGAGGGCGTTGAGTGCTTTGGGTCGGTTCAGCTGAATGAAGCCCACGTTGTTCTTTTCACCTCGCTTCTCCACAACAATATACTCATACTGACCACCTGTGAACCAATAGTACTGCTCAAGTCGCACCTTTAAAACACAACTTAAGCGGTCTATCGTTTTAACTTTTCAAGTACTGATAGAACAAAGTGAAGTAAACCGACAAAAACAGCATCGTGACACAGCTTCACACAGACCCAGGACCTTGTGTATTAAATTATTCATCCATTATTTAGAGTAAGCATTTCTCTAAAACAGTGGTTTCCAAAGTTGGGGTGGGGGAACTCCGCTGTGAACCGTGAAACATCAATGAGGGGTCTGGAAATGATTTCCAGAAATCAAACAAAAATTAACAATTACTAGCTGAATTTCTTAGAATAGTTTATTCAGCTATTATTTAACCAGGCAAATCCAATGGGGATCACACATTATTTTAAGGGAGGCATGCATGAGTGCCTGGGACAAAAAACAAACAAACAAAAACAGTATGAGAAGATTTATAAACACCAATAATCATTTGTAATACAATAAAAAGCTGGTTAGAAAAAAGGTTAGAAACACATAGAACTGCGCGAATTAAGCCTGGATATTATTAGATAAGAGATTCAGAACAGAAGTGTAGTGCATTAAAATATCAGATTGGTAAAATGCAATTATGATAACTAGAATATCCTTTGTGCAACACAAATGTTGCAGAAAAAAGTTTGCTAGTGTATTCGGTCGCACTTTAAATGACGCAGGTTTCTTTACATTTTGCGTTGGAGCCGCAGTCGATCAATGCTTSACTGTAAAGGGACCCCCGTCTGGTTTCTGCCCACTCACCTGAGCTGTAGAGGCGGGCCGCGGACAGGAGAGCCGGRGCTGTTCTGGACGGCTTCAGGAGCAAAGCTGCATTTCTACAGAGGAAGGCCATGCTTATCAAAATGACACTGAACTTTGCCTCACAACAGAAACAGCTCCTCTCGCCTGCACTCTTCTTTGCTGTTTTATTTTCGCTCAGACGGCGGCCTGGAGGGAAACTTTCGCCACCTGGTGGCCGCGGCCGGTAAAGCAGGCGCTGTTTCATATTTCATAACGATCATTTCATAAAGTAAAACCTAATAAATCTGTTGTATCAATAATTCATTAAACTCAACGAATACTTTTGTATTCATTATTATATCCAACTATTTAAATTAAGACTCACATAACAGAGAAATGAGTAAATGATGAACATAGATGATGACAGAAGTGATTGGCCAGAATTTTTAGTTAGGTTGAGGTAATGGTTGTTGGGGGGGGAATGACTGTGCACAAACAAAAACACTGCACAAATGACCATGATCATAAAGAGTTGCAAAATATAAATAAAAAATACTAAAACTATATAGCTAACTAGCTCAAATTTCAACAAATATATTTTTAAAAATTACTTTGATTCCAGACGCGCCTGTATGAGCGCGCTGCGCGTTCTCGGGATCGTTTTGCGTGAGCGCGCCTGCATCGTTCGGCAACAATCCCCCTTCATTTCCCCCTGTAGGCCTCAGCATCAGGAGGGATAACAGCAGCAAGGTAATTAATTATCTGTCATCATATGTTGTCTTAAGGTGTACGTGTTTTAATATAATTATTTTTAAACAAGCAACGTGCAGGGTGCCGTATGGCCCAGTTTATGAGATGAACATCTATTATACGTGTTTTTTTTTTCATTGCACTGATAAAACATTCCGTCCGTTTATTTCTATTGTTCACATTGATGCCTCAATCAGCTGTCATTACAAACATAAAAAAATAAATAAGACATGCATTTCAAATGATGGCTATAGAATAATTTATTCCTCATATTTCTGGGAATTTGTTTTAATTTTATACATATAAAGAAAGACTTAACATGATGTTCTTMTGTGAGCATATTTGGGCTTTTGTAAGCGACCTACTTATGAGAGTGCACCAAGATGTGCAACACAGACATGTTTATGAGTGAGCATCACACCATCACTGATCCAGTGCAGTCAGTCACGCATTATTTAATGCTGGGTTTACTGTTTGCATGATGTACATAATACTCTAATATTAATATCCAGATGTAAATATTAATTCAGCTGTTTGTCATCCCCGACTGCCCAAAAAAAAAAAAAAAACATTTTTTTTTTTTGAAAAAAGCCATATTTGCTAAATGATGTGTGCATGTTTCCCTTGTGGATTTGAAGCAAAGGTATATGGACTTCAAAATTACGTAACTTTACATGAAATATGTTAAATTAACATGTGAAATTCATGTTATTCTGGTTTGCTGCATGTGAGAAATGTGATAAACTTGGAAAATGTTTGTTTAAAGCTGAAATGATGTGCCTTCTTAAATCAAATAAATCTTCTGTGTTTCAGTAGATTTTTTAAATATTCTTAAATATTTATATATTCTTCACGTCRTTGCCCAGATGTCAGGGATGAACCAGGTCGTGGCAACATGCTGGACCTGCCTCCTGCTCTCTGCGTTCCTGTTCGAGCCCGCTCTGTCCAAGGGCGGACGTGGAGGGTCCCGGGGCTCTTCTCGCGGGTCCCCCTCGCGCAGCTCTACAGCTGGGACCTACCGAGGAGGCGGCGCCTACGGGGGGACGCGCTCCCGGTTCAGAGTGGCYGGACGGAGCTCCCCGGTGAGGGTGGCGAGCGCCGCGGCGGCCGGCGCGGCGGTGGCCTTGTCGGCGGATAAGTGGTACGCGTCGGCGTACCGCCGCAGCAACACGGACGGCTCCGAGGAGGAGCTGGAATACTTCAACAGGACCGATTACTTTGATGCTCTGATGTCCAGCTCCACTCAGAACGGCTCTTTTCTGTCTCAAATGGTTTCTATCATTATTGCAACATTTCCCACAAAATATGGCCTCTTGCTGGACTGTATACTGTAGACTTCACAATGGATTTTAGGGTAAAATTTCTGAGCCTAAACCCAGAAAGGTGATTAGAAGGATCCAATCACAAACATCACTGTACTGTATTTTAGTTATTTGAATAAATTTACATTKCCAACATAGTTTTCACGCTCACATTTGAGAACATTTGCCAACATTTATTTTACCCTATGTGCAAAAAATAAATAAACTCCTTATGTGTACTGCCTAACTCACATTCAAATTTGATCATTTCTATAGATGAAACAAACCATGCGCACCTCAGATAAACAGGTTTGACTTTGGTCTTATTCAGGGTTCCCACACCTTGGTCAACATCAAATTCAAGGACCTTTCAAGGACTTTCCAGTACCAATTTCCTCAAATTAACGAACCACGCGCAATGGCAATTACCTACTGCAGAATGTTACCAATAAACAGGTTTAATATCATGCAAATTCAATGAAAAACTGAACATAGTAGTTGTTGTGTCAGAAACAATGACGTCAGTTTACCGTAATCCTGAGTTATCCACCGCAACAAATGTAAGAATTTTTTTTAAAATTTATTTTAAAAAATTTAAAAGATGATGAAAACCAGAATAGAGAATTTCAATCCCCAAAAACATTCAAGGACAAGTGTAATTT